CAATTTAAGCCCACTGCTTCTTGTCCTATCATCAGAGGCCAAGGAGAACAATTTTCCTTCCTCCTCCTTGTAACACCATTTTAGATACTTGAAAACAGCTATTATGTCCCCGCTCACTCTTCTCTTTTCTAAACTAAACAAGCCCAGTTCTTTCAGCTCATGTTCTCTAGACCTTAAAATATTTTTGTTGCTCTTCTCTGGACCTTCTGTAATTTCTCCACATCTTTATTGAAATGTAGTGCTCAGAACTGGACACAATATGCCAACTGAGCACAGAGTAGAGCAGAAGAAAAAGTAACTCACCTTGTGCAGTAACAATGGTTCTTCGAGATGTGTGTCCTGTGGGTACTCCACTATTGGTGTCAGGCTTGTCCTGGAGCCACAGATCAGAGATCTTAACAAGGAGTCCTGTGGTACTTAAGACTAACAGATTTATTTGGGCATAAGCTTTTCCTGGTAAAACCACTTCATCAGATACATTGCCATCTGACATCTGTTAATCTTAAGATGACACAGGACTTCTCATTGTTTTTTTCATAACTGGTACATCGACCAAGGTTGCTGTTTTGGGAGAACAGGGAGGGCAGCAGCCGTATGTACCAGGACATGGCTTGCTTTTTTTCCTGTTCCCCTGACAATAAGGGAGCAAGGGGAAAGTACTTGGATTCTGTGCATGCCTCTCACTCCTGGCTGGTGAAGGGGTGGAGTCCAAGTACTTTCCCATCATTCCCTCATCGTCAGAGGAATTGGAAGAAAAGAAAACCGTGTCCTTGTACACACGGTTTCTGCTCCCACTGTTCTCCCAAAACATTGCCCTTTACATCGACAGGCAGATGATTAACATGATTTATGTAAGTTTATAGCGTAAGCAGAAATTGCTATTAAAAATCTAATAATGTCAAACTTATTATAATGCACACATTGTTGTAATCATGAATTTATTAAATATGGTAGTGAAACCCCGAGTTGAATTATTGAAATATAAGGTATAATATCTGTGATGGTCAGATAATCACATGCCTGGATGTTATACGTCATCATGATAAGCTGACCTCTGGAAACCTTTTAGTAGGGGAAACATGTCTCCATCTGGGACTTTAAAGATGATGCATTTGGCAGATCAAAATACTGAGCAGTAAGCCTCAATAGATCTGTGTGCCTCTCTAATCTTTATATGAGAAATAAGGAAACCACTTATCTGCTTACTTAGCATGCTTTCCCAATCCCAATAAAAGGACAATAGTTAATTCACCACAAAAATTATCAATATTAAAACTTGGTTTAATATACAGGGACTTGTACAAATAACTTCTTCTTAAAGTCCCATGATTCCACCACCCCAGACAACCACCAATTTACATATGAAATTTGCCTCCCAAATTAAGTATCAAAGCACCCCATATAAAACACACCATTTTAAATGAAAAATCTTTTAAAACATAGTAATGTACAAAACAAATAGTAGGATTATACTATTATTGGGTTCTAGGGAAAAATAACAGAATTCCTTATTTTTCAAGAGTTAACTACAAATGTGGTTTTCTACAGCACTCTGCCATCTTGACAGTGGGTGCAATCCTCGTTTTATGGTCAAGAAGAACTCTTCAAATGTTGGTAAACCAAAAAATCAATATAAGATAACTAAGATTTAGGTAATTTCATTTGCCTAGGGTGGTTGCTTCCATATAGATAGGGGATCATGATGGCAGGAACTGGTATAATAACATAGGTTATTGTTTTGTACTGTTATTGATATTTCAGCTGATGAGTTGTTATAATACGTATCAGTGCCACCAATTATCAGAATTGAGGAACGTATTGTATATCACATGAAGTAACTCAGTATACCATAGTTTTCTATTTCCCTTTTTCCTTTGCATAGCAATGCATCAGACTATTTCTTCATCTTGGATTCGCAGCAATCAATCCCAAATGTACACTTTTGGAGTGATTAGAATGGTAATACATGATTGAAAACATTCAAATAAGTATGCACACCTACCTGGATTATTCCCCCTATCATCCTCTATTAGCTTTCATGAGACAATGTTTTTTTTTATAAAATGAAAAAGCAAACAGGTGTTAGATTATTTACATATGACAAAATTCATATCGTTTAAATAATTAAAACTAATTTGTGTTCAGAGCTACAGTTGCATCTTTATTAGAGAAACAAGTACAAATAGGCATCTCTATTGAGCTGTTTATTCAATGAGTTTAAATAAAACATATTCCATAACCTCAGTTCTCTCACATCAATATAGTAACCCAGGGTACTAATTTCCTCTGCTCTTGTTACAATTCCCCTTTCATTATGTTTATATTCAACTATTAAAAAACCCAACCTGCACATTTTAAATAATTTTCTTAAAAAAAAAAATCCTACCCAAAATACCAAATATGCTGTTGATTTTAAAAATATTTTCTTCACAAACCTCATACGATAGTACTTCTTAAGACTTTAGTCACCGGAGAGAAAGTTTTATTTACAAATAAGAGTAAAATTTTGATGTAAACCCAACTACATGACATTTTCTTTTTCTTTTATATAGGGTACACCATCTTGTATAAAATCTATTTTTAAAATACTACAGTAAAACTTGAGTGTAGAAGCCTCTAATATTGAGCACTTTTAGAAAAGAGAATAAGTTATGAATAAAGTTTTAAGAATAAAGAATAAGTTTGGCTAAAACCAAAATGCAGAATTCTAGTCTGCTAATAACGTATGGAATTGTCGTTTGCTAATAACTTGTTAAAGCAGCGTAATACTTACCCTTTGAATCAAAGGCATCAAAATACAACTGTAGGTAGTAACTACATGTTATTCATATGTTTATGAGAAAACAAGCAGATTTCAAGAGGCAAAATATTTAGATAACCTATAATCAAGATCATTTTGTTCCCTCTTTCAGAAAAGACTTTTTAATCATTGTAACTAAAGGTGCAACTTAGAGCATGTATAGGAACTAGTGACATGTTAAACCAGATTTGCACTGCATTTAAAAAATACCATCTGTATTTCCTTTATTTAAAGAATAACCAGTCCCAAGTTGTGTGCCTGTTGCAA